GGCTGGAAACACACTCTCAGCTTCTCTTTTCTTGAATATGACAGGCAGATGGTGACACAGATGCACAGGGACAGAGGGAGCTGCTGGTGTCTGAAAAGTTGCAGTGCTGATGATGCTGATGCAGCAGCATCCCAGAGAGGACAGCATCTCGGTGTGACGTCAGCCTTGCCCCGGATGTCCTTCAGGTATTTTATTAGCAAATAGTAGTGAAGCCTACACTCTGAAACATGTCTGGGGGGGCCACATAATGAAACAGTGCTTATCACTGCGAGTCCACATTTCCAGCAACCGATTAGACATTGCACATCTCTGTCATGCATGGAAGCTCTCTCTCCAGATTCCTTAGAGCTGGAACCCCATTGAGGAAGTGATGGCAGAGCTAGTCTGAGGCGAGAGGTAGCTGCCCTTGGAGACATGAAGGCATGCCCGCAGTCCCAGCACCACAGTGAGGCAGGAGACCAGTGGTTTAGGGGCAGCCTGGGCTACAGGAGAATGAATTAAAAAAAAAAAATAGAAACGAGCAGTAGCTGAAGATGGTTAGAGACAGAACATCAGTTAAAATCCCACACTGCCCCTTGTGGTCTTCACAATTCAGCCTCCTAGACATGACATGGTGCTCTGTCTATGTGCTCTGTCTTTGTGTGACTGGAGCCCAAAGCCAAACCAGAAGAAGCTAAGCTCTGAACCTCGCCATGTCACCAGCCATGTGGTCATGGTGGACACCTGGTGAACATGCTCCACTGTTTCTGGAGACTGCTTTCTCATCTGTCTGACTGTTTGAATGGCCAGTCATGTTTAGTTCTGCCCTAGGTCTCTAGGTCATCCAGCCTCCAGTTCCTGTCAGTCCAGGCACTGTCAGCTCTGGGCTTCCTCTGGTGGAATGGGCCTCAGGTTGAATTAGACATTGGTTGGCCACTCCTGTAAGTTTTGAGCCACCATTGCCCTCACACATCTTGCAGACAGGTCAGATTGTAGGTCAGAAGAGAGACCCATACCTGTGTGTTGAACACCACTTGGTTTTTTAAAATAGCTTC